TACCTTTCTTTTCTTTTCTCTGTATTTCTGTTACAGCTGGGTAAGGCGGAGCTCAGCTTCACTAAGGGCGTGACTGCTGAAAAAAACAAAACATAACCCTGATATGGACCAATAAGAATTTAGAAACATGTACTGGGATGCACAAAGGAAGGAATTACACAATTATATCCATCCATACAATTAATCATAATTTCTTATCCTTTAAGCCATTTTTGTTGAGTTCAAGCAGAGATATTTTTTTGGCCCTGCCAAATCAGAAAAAAAAAATGTCCATCTTGTTTCAGCTAGTTGCTAATTAGTGCATCGCTAATCATATTAGCAAAAAAAAAAAAAAAAAACACACATATGTGTTTGTTTTGTCATCTCCAGTCATCATCAAACATGGCCCTGTCTCTTTGAAGAATTAATAAATGCCTTTCTTTAACCAAAAGTTGTATGTTTGCTTTTGATTGCTGCCTTTAACAGAAGGATGTAACTATTTTTTGTTTCCTCCATATTTCATGTTCATTGGTAAGAAATACGACTACAGAGCTTAGACACAGAAAAGAAGCAGGATTTCTGCTTAATGAAACTCAGACATTTCACTCTAATCTGTCAGTTCACTAATTACTTAATTAATTGTTCCAGCACTAATGAGCTTATTAATTAACGAAGAGCTGCTGACAAAGTTGCTCTGTGTCTTAAACAACCCTTGCCTCTGACACCAAATAATATTGTTGTGAGGTTTTGATGAATAACACTGAGATGAAAAAGTCTTCTTAATTTTCTTTTTTAAATAAACCATTTTACTTTTTCCTGAAAACTGCAAAAAAAAAGAAAAAAAAAAAAAAGAAGAAAAATAGGACGCTATCTTGTGGTCATCTTTTCCAAATTCCAACTCGGGAACATAAAACTCCCTCCCGGACATCTTTGATGAATAAAACACTCTGAGTCAGACATGAAACAAGTAGATTTCAGACCCTTGAAACCACTCCAGCTGTGTTGAAAAGCCAAATGACTTGGACCAGTTTTCCTCACTGTATTATACAGATGGTTTATGGTTTATTCTTCAAAGAAGTGCAGAAGTGTAGGACAGCATGAGGCGTTGAAGGGACGGTATTCGACTGCCAGGGGAGCTGTTGAGATGTGCGTAGAGCTGAGCTGCATAGTGTATGAATTGTCTTCTTCCGCGGCTCACTGGCTCGCAGAGGGACCTCTGTGTGACACTAATTTCGCATTGTCGACTCCTCCACTGAGTGGTCACGGGTGACTGACTGTCCTGAATCAGCGGCATGATCAAAAGTATATGGAGAGGTAGATGTGAGCAAGGAGGAAAGCGAAAGGGACTAGATAGTAGTTTCTGTTTAAAACCAAGCAGACAAATCTTGACTTTCTTGCCTTTGCTTCTTTTGACAGGTTGGATGCAGATTTCGAATTATAAATGTATTGCAGGAGCGGTGAATATGGGTTTAGAATTTAGTTCCGAACAAGAAAAGAGCCTCTGCAACCTAATTTAGACTAGCATGGATGCCTCTCATGTGGCTTACAATGTTGTGTATATACAAATGAGACACTTGGAGGAGCTGTGAATAGATCCCATCCTCAATCATACAGGGATGTTTATACAGGGCCATGCTTGGTCACTCAAGGGCTTATAGCTGATTAGGACGCAAAGCTAAATCCTACTATAGTGCAGAGTGCAGCTTAGTCGGTGAGACTTGTAGCATTAGCCGTTGTTCAGACAGCGAATCTCTTTACAAGTCCATAAAGAAGATGAGGATTGTAATCAGGGATGCTTCTAGGCGTGTCTGCACACACTTATACCGTGCATTAATCTAACGGTCTGGATGGGTGTGTACAATTTACTGAAAGTGATGAGATGTGATTGAGCCAGCTTATGGCATCTAAAAACAACTGCTTGGGGTGCAGTGAGAAGGGTTGAGTGTAAGGGTTACAGGAGAGTCTGTCGGTGATTGCATCTCAGCCCTTCAGCAAAAACAGAATCATATCAGGCAACTCTGGGAGGTTGGGGAGCAAGTTTAATAGGTGTGGAAGAGCTTACAATTTTCATTATCCCTGCATCCTGTACTGCATCGGTGACTGCCCCAGGTTTTGGAAAGTCTCTGGGGCAGGTGATATCTCGCAGTGTGACGGTAGACTATTCTGGCTTCATTGAAATGTTTTGATGCTTGATGTGAAACAAAGTAGATCTCATTTGGGAAAAGAAGGAGTCTGATGCTCCAGTCTTAGGGCTCAGCCAAGAGAGAAATGAAATTTGGTTGGTGGTGTGCGAGTGTGAGTGTGTGACAGGAGGCAGTGGAAAATGGCTGGTAATAAACACTTCTGACACACCACAGCTCCCTTCCACATTCCTCTTTAGGTCTTTTTAGAAGGGGGATTGGTCACATTCATATCCCCCTGGCCCACATTTCAGAGCACAAGGTGGAAAGTCATCTATGAATTTTCAAAAGCTGAAGAATTTGAGTACTGCTTCAGTATATAAGATTCTCCTGCATATTGTTCAGGCCAGGATGCACAAACACAAAATATCCTGAAATCAGGGGTGTCTTCTGGGTGTGTTCAACTTGTTACCATATTTGTTTATAAAGAGACATTGCTTTTTCTTAAAATATATGTTTTCGATTTTTATAAACCTGCAGTGGTGGCTAGTTAGATGGAAAATATGGCTCTTGCCCAGAGCGAGCTTCTTCAGGGGTGGCCAAGAAATTAAGAGTAGAGTGTGTCTTGCAATATGTTGGGTGGCTCCCTTAATCTAAGAAAATATAGTCATGCACAAAAGGAACATTATTTTATTATTTGCTTAAATCATGAAATCTCTTTGATTTGACTGTTTATTATGGTTATGATCCTAACTTGGATCTGTTGACTATTAGCCTTGATCTGACAAAATTAAGCAGAAAGACCTCGTGCTTCTGGATGATTTCTAGTGGGGCCCTACAACCACATTTCGTCATGGTGTTAACAGTCTATAAAAAAACTTCAAATTGTTGGTAGTCAAAGTTGGTGTAACCTATTTGCCGTATCGTTAGTAATTGGTGCATGGTTGGTATAAAAAAAAATCTGGCAGCAGTTGATGCCATACTGCAAACCAAAATTGAAGCATGTAGTTAGTTATATAAAAAAATGTAAAGACGATATGTAAAAATATCCAGAACCCTCTAAAGTTTAATTTTATACAGAATCTGGTACTAAAAGTAAGGAATATCTAGTAGTTTTTTTTAAAAGTAATTTAGTTTTTTAGCATTCCTTGGTCAAATTCAGAGGTTACAATCTAGACTAAACAGAAGCTCTTTTAACCACAGTTTGAACTAAGGTGTGAAGATCAAGTATGAGAAGCGCTAAATTGCTTCTGTTAGAAAAAAAAAAAAAATGAATTGCATGAGCAGATGATCTACAATAGTTAACAGGTACAAAACAGGTTCAGGCCATCCTATTTCTATGAGGAGATTGCATGTTATACTGGCAGGTTTTAAGGAAGCTGTGTAGGAAGATGAAGTTTAAAGCCATAGAGTTGGAGGTAATAATGAACTATAGAAATAATGATACCAATAATAATAGTAGTGAATATAAACTCATTGTATCTCAAATGTCTAAAACTAAATCAAAAAATTTTATATATCACGTAAAATTAAAAGATTAGATAAAACCTAGAAAAGCTTTTTTTTTTTTTTTTTTTTTTTTTTTTTTTTTGTCAGGCTCTATGTTGGGTTATTAACAAGCCACAATATTTAAGCCCATTCTTAATGTTTATTGTTTTAATTCAATTGCATAATGACTCTCAGAGCTTTCTGCTGCATTAATCTTTTCCGCACAAAAAAACTTTTCTATCCTAATGCTTTTGTACTATTGTGATTTCTGACAGTCCAAATAAATTCAAATGAGCACAGACTCTTTCTCCATTTCGCCGTCACATCTATATGCTTCTTTGGTGCCAGCATGACCTCAGACATTTTTGGTGTGAGTTTGCATCTGCTGCTCTACTTATTTTAGACAAATATGTACCTAGTTAGGATTTCAGCTGTTTATACACTATCAACTTGCATATTTTTTTTGTGTTTTATTTCTTTTTACAGACAAACCTTAAACCTGAAGTTCAGGCTCTAACGTTTTTTTTTCCTCCCCTGGTTTCTTTTCCTGATTTAAACATAAAAGCCTTGTACTCTGGAAAGTGAACTTCTTATTGCTGCTTTCTTTGGGTTGAATTGTAGAATAGATATATGTGAATTTTCTCCTTACTCTTCAGTTTTGATATGCTCAAAATGAATAATTTCTGTGGCAACTGCATAAATAGCTTCTGTGGAAATGGCTACTCTTCTGTGCTGTGGGTGTTGTGTGCAACAATGACAGTTTTCTAGGAAACACATTTCTGCTATGACTTTACTGAGTTTCTACTATCTGAAAAAAAAACAACAACTTGCATTTAACCCATCCTTTAAGTGATGTGGAAGCAGAAGTCTGAGAAATCTAAAAACAATGTGCGCATATATTTAGCAATATAAGTAAAAGGCTTAATTATTTACTAACCAGCTTCTATATTTTTCTTCGCTTAACTTCCACAGTATCCTCACAAAATATATATATAGTGACTATTTATTTTTAATGAGTCTTTGTCTTTGCCCTCATTGCTGTTGCTTGTTTGTGTATTTAAATGAAAGCTGCCGAAGCAACAACAAAATAGTTACACTAAAACCCTCCTATGTCATATAATTTAGCATGTTTAATTTTCTTTATTTTACTAGAGTATGATGATTAGAAATCTTTTTTACTATGAAAATATAGATGTCAGATTTTTAAATCTGAAAAAGCAGGAAAAGGAGGATGTTGTTCAAAAGATAAAGTCTATTGTTCATGGGGCAAGTTTCAGAGGTGTGGAGGGAGTGTTTGGGTGGGGCGGTGAGAAGTAGGAAAGTGTGTGGTTTATTGAAGATAAAGCTGTGGGATTAGTGTTATCGGTGCTCCTGGCTACTTTTCCTCATCTCTGGTTTTTCTCTCTTTTCCAGGTGCAGCAGGTGGACAGCCGAATGGACTGAAGAAGTGACGGACAGAGGTTCACAAGTGAGGAGGAGGGATTTGAAGAGGAAATCAGTCACAGGACGAGAATCACACAGTGGAGAGAGAAATAAAGGGGAGCTGAAAGAAAGTGAAATAATCCAGTGGTGAACACCTCAGCAGAGTGTCAGTATCAAAAGGGAGGGAGTTGGATACCCAGCATGCCGGCAGCATGGAAAGGGTGAGGGAGCAGCGGCCTTTCTGCTCGCTGTCCAAGAGCCACAGGGAGCGGGACAGAGACTGTGAGAGAGGGAAGGATCGGGAGCGGCGCTACACGGCTTCATCCACGGACCGGGAAGACGGAGTCTGTCGGGTTCCCACGCAGAAATCATACAGTTCCAGTGAGACCCTGCAGGCCTTTGACCATGACCCGTCGCGGATGCTGTTTGGAGGCAGAGTTAAGGAGATGGTCCACAAGGAGACACCAGAGTACGCCAGGCCTGGTTAGTAAAAAGAGTCTTTTTTTTTTTGCAAGGGTTTTAGATCTGTTGGAGACTTTTTGACATTTAATATAAATGCTTACCTGACAGTACAATTGGATAAGGTTAAACCATCATTTTCCTATTAAAATGCAACAGTTTGATTATCTAAGATGAAAAACAAATGTGGGATTTTCATTGTCTCCACTCTAGTGAATTCAATAAATAACAAAATCCTCATATCTTTGTTGATTTCCTGCTGGTTACTAGTGTGAGACTTAATTAGGAAGATGAAGATCTATACAAGGATTTTTAGGGTTGTGTACAAAAAATGAAAAGTCTCACTGTTTATACTTTTTTTCTGTGCAACATTTATTTAACAAAAACAATACTCTAAACAGTTGTTGAGACAGTGGTAAACACAATTAAGGCAAGTCGCACAGACAAAATCAAATGTTTTTACTGAAACTTTAGGAGAAAGCTCTTTCACAATGTGATCCAGTGGGCTCCCTTGATCCTGTAAAATATTCCAACCATTCTAGACTAAGTTGAAATATAAAAGCAATGCCTAAATAGTAAGACTTTCCTTTAATTGGCTGGTGGAAGCTGCTTTAAATTGTGTAATTAAAAAGTTTGAGCACTTTATTCTATTTTATGGTACTCCTTGGGCTCATAAGAATGCAATCAGAAAATCTATCCATTACTCCACTACGTTTTCCCAGCGCTAATTGGTGTCCGTTTCAGATTTAATGGGATCATGACGAAATTGTGGGAAGACAGCTGCTTTTATTTTTAATTTAATGCGAACATTTAGAGGTAGCAGATTCTTTCTAGATCTTCATAATAAATTTTTGATTTAAGGTAAAAAAAAAACAACCTAAAAACATATTTACCTTAATTAGTGTGTGTGTGTGTGTGTGTGTGTGTGTGTGTGTGTGTGTGTGTGTGTGTGCTTGCTTAATTAGAATATGAAGTTCCTTGTATTTTAAGGAAAATAAATTCAGTAATATATAAATTAATTAATTTGTGCAAAAATAAATAATAAATAAAATTTTTTCTGAATGCAAATGTTTATTTAGTTTAATTCCATGCATTATTCATGTTAGATATCTATACTTTTTTTTCTCCAATGTTTCCAAAATAAAATCCATTTCCAAAACAATTTTATCAAGTCATTTTTATTTTACTTAGACATATATTGTGTATAAGTTATACTTTTTTGTTTGCTTTTCGTTGTATAAAATGCACTGAATTGAACGATGGAGTAATTTATTCCCAATATTTCAGGAACTTATAGTTGAACTCAATTATTTTGTTTGCTGTACATTATGACATGGGGAGATGTTCCATAGGCAGTTATGACAGCTTATTATTTTCTTGAGGGATGGTAGAGTAAAATACTTAACTAGCTTCAGGTTGCTCCAAGTAGAGGGATTTTATATACATATATATATAATATATATATATATATATATATATATATATATATATATATATATATATATATATATATTTTATGTCTGAAAACGAGTCATTACAGATATTTATCAAACCCACAATACTGATTTTCTGTAAAAAAAAAAATCTTTATGTTTTTACCTACCTCCAGAAAATGTGAGGGGATTTAGATGTTAAGAATTTGATGTTCCTTGTCACAATGCTTATCAGGGGGCTGTGTTCTTGGCTATAAACCTGGTTGTTCCTCGGTTTGTTAACTTTACAACTTGCTGTCATTTACAGGACAGACATTTTCATTGAGGCAACTCGGGATTTGTGAGGCACCAGCTCGCAGAGGCTTGGCTCTCTGCCCTGAGACTGGCCTGTCCCACCCACTCAGCAGCTACACCCGTGGGCCAGCTGCCACAGAAAACCATGAACCTGTATCACCGGAACGTACCATGACTCTTTGGGGAACGGGGGCAAAATCGGGGCAGAATTCATGCCTCTCCAGCCGTTCCAACTCAGCGCTCACGCTCACTGACACAGAAATGGACAATAAATCGGACACCGAGATGGGTGAGTAGGGCACACTTTACGTCCTTTTATGTTCACACTCTTATTTGTTCGCAGCTCTTGCCCCCCTTTGCTTGAGAAAGTGGGGGAAATCACTAGGTAGAAAAAGCAGCAGCAGGCTGGATTATGGTTGGTGCTGCAGATAAGCTCCTGATTGGTGGAAGGAAGTGGAAGTGTGATTGGTGGGGCAGCTATCTAGAGGAGCATTTGCAGCTGTCTTTGTTTGGATCAAAGGGGGGGAGTCTTTGCTGCATTCAGAGAAAAATTTGCCCCGAGATTGAGTGGTTGCTAGTCACCTGGTCCATCTCGGCGGGAAGCCGAGGAGTTTGATAAAGTTTCCCCATGAGCTATCGTATAATCAAAGATAGCTTTGTGTGCCTCAGTTTGAGATTTTGCTTAGAAATCCTGCAGTGGTCGACTAGGCGCACATAATGGCTGATTAAATGGGCACAATGGTTTTGAAGTGCAAATTTGATCATGCTGAAGACCTGAGATGGAGGATCGGGGTTTTCTGTTTGAAGAGGGCAAATCTGTGCTACACCAAAGACAGGGAATGTTTATGGATTGATTAGATGCATACCTGTTATTTACATCACACTAGGTTCACACTTTAATACTTCCATGCTGGTATTTTCCCCTTTTAATGACTTTGGTTTCTGTTTTAGTATCATAAAGTCGGTAAATTGATCATCTCACCTGTTTGTATTTGCCGTTATCCTAATCTTTGGTACAAAATTCATTTTATCTGCTGTAATTAGTTCTGTGCTCTGAAAGCGCTCTTGACTCCATATGTCATTTGTCATCATTATGGTGTCACCATTGTAACACATTTGATGCAAAGCTCTAATTATTTTAAGAAATCGATGTTATCAAATGATGGCAGGCAGTTTAAATAATTAGGGTTGATTACACTTTCCGGGCCAGAACATTAAAGAGAGGATAAAAAAAGAAAATGTCATGTTCTCTTGCTACCAATTTTTATACTTAAAACATTGGCCACCATCTGACATTTAAGACAAGTCATTTTCTTAATAGCAACATTCATCATGGGGATCCTGGTGTCCAGGGAGGGGGAGCTGACTTAGTTTTGTACCTTTTAAAAATGCAATCAGAATTCAGAATCGAGAATCTGCTGCTCAAACGGGCCTCAAAGGAAATGTGCCTTCCCCTCCTCAGTGCTTTAGTCGGGGACTCATTTGTTGTTCTGTATGCCAGGACTGAAACTCGATCTCAAGAGACTGTTCCATTTTGAAGGAGAACATACAGCTTTGCTTCAATAGATCCTCTCCTGCACTTTGATTCCTTCTGCGGTGCTCCACTTAAAAGTGTGTGACCTCACACACACTCATCCACACTCCACAGATAGAAAACGCCTCAAGAAGCTTCTGCTGATTGGCTCAGGTTTTAACAATGTCCTGCTGAGAGTTAAGGTCACTTACAAGGCAACAGGAAGTATTTGTATTTTTTCATCACAGGAAACTAAAAATCTGTTTTCAGGGTTGCAGAGAAATAAAATGTTTCTTCTATTATTTCGTTTATAATTCAAACTTCTTCTTTTTATAAGGTTTTATTGGTTTATCACATTTTAAGGCAGGACATAAAAAAATAAATCCTTGTCTCTGTTCCACCTCTATAGATCTTTGTCTTCTTTTTTTTTTCCTTTGGCAGGAAGCGTTGCACTTTTGACTTTCACTATTTAATGAAGCAGCTAAGAGAAATGACCCATCCAAAGGTTTCTATCAACTCAATATGCATGCGGAAGCTCCAACAAGGGGCCGTTCAGCCCCACTTATTCATAAATGAACCCGATATTTCATTCTAATTTGCTCTGTTCTGCTGAGAGTTCGACACAGACAAGTACCAAAGACTTGGCACGTTCGCAGAGTGTGGCATCTGCAGATATTCACCTCTAGGACAAAGGTCTCCCCCTTTACAGATGAACCAAGGGTGGTCATCAGGGGGTCAATCTGACAATGTGCAGCCCTGTAACAGCCACATGGGACCACAGGAACATTCAAAGCTGTTACATTTTGTGGGTCACTGGGGAGAAAATTCAGATATTTTGAATATTTAGTTCAGAAGATTTTTGGCTGTCAAATTTGTGTTTTTTTTATTTTTCAATCAAATACAATTTTAAAATATTAAATGTAAATATTAATTTTAGTTCTTTTATTTTAGCTATATTTCTGTTTCCTTTTTTATTTATGCATTTCGTGGGTTTACAAAATAAAAGGCAGGGTAAAGCTACATTGTGTTGGGGTATAAACTACAATCGTTATAAATCAGTAAACTAATTGTTTAGGTCACCTTCTTATTTATGTATTTATAGCTTGATTAAGTCACCTGTCACCTTATAATTAGCTATTTTCCTCTTTTTTTCTTTTTTTCTTTTGCTTGCTCTCTACACATACTTATAGATACTAAAATTTTGAAAATTAAAGATAGATAAAGGTAATTAAATTAATAAAATTAAACAAAAAATTATATAGAAGTAGGCACACCAGGTCTAGAAAAATAAATATACCAGTAACATTTCCACAGAAAATTATTTTGTATAAAATATTTCTGTAATTAATATATTAATAATAATAATAAACTTTATTGATCTCACACTGGAGAAATTTACCTCTGCATTATTTGACCTGGATAATTGGAAACACAATTAAATATGTATCTAATAATTGATGAAATTATATTTGGTTTCAGTTGAAATTATTAGTTATACAGTTTGGTTTCAGTATGATGTACCTTAAAATAAGATTAAATAAAAGAGAGAAAACTCTAGTTGTGGTTACGATAATAAAATTTCTAACTCAATATTGATGCATAGGAAAATAGTCAATACTTCATACCATTTTTGATACAATTGGTTAAAAAGTGGCAAATAATTATAAGCATAAACTATGTTTTTTGATTAATATGAAAAACTTATTACATAGAACGTGCTTTTCTTTTTTTTTTTTTTTTTTTTTTTTTTTTT